AAACGTGCTCAGAGAAACTGTTGTCTTTCATAGCCATGTCAGGACTGGAACAGGTTGAAAATGAACACACAGAGACAGCAGGTGCCAGTGTGATCCAATGGAAGCTGCTCAACTTTGCTGTTAAGCATTTTGTGATACAAGCCAATTTTTGTGTACAATGTGTTCTATATATGGAAGTGGAATACTTATATGGCTGCATGTTATGTGACTATATGAATTCCATCCATCAGATGTTGAGAAACAGAAAAATACCATGCAATTTATTGACTTATTTAAAGGGGTTAAATTGTTGCTGGAACAAAAGATACCTTGAGATAAGATCTTCAATATTCAATGAGATGTTCTGTATTCCTAGAACATTCCATGAGATGAGATAAGATCTTCAACATTCAGTGAGATGAGTCCTAGAATTTTCAGTCAGATAATATAATATACTTTCATTTCTTTCCTTGAAGTAATTTCTGGAACATTCCATAAGTTGAGTTCTAGTAAAACAGTTGCTCAGAGAAAGAGACCTGTACACAGAGGATTGTGATATATTTTACCCATTTAGTTTCTGCCTTAGTTTTGACTATTCCACCACACAACTTTTAGATTCTTTGATGCCAGTGCAATATTTCATGTTCATTGCTTGAGGATTTTTATATTTTTAAGTGGATAAAGTCTACACAGAAAGGTCGTTTGTATTAATAACAAGATGTTATTGTTAGTGTGGTATCATTGAATGTCAGAATGAAGGTTTGAAACCTTATTAAAAAATGATTGAACATTCTGACTATCGGTTTATGTATGATGCTTACCTAAATGACTTACATGACTGCAGTACTTAACTTGACAAAATGACTTACATGACTGCAGTACTTAACTAGACAAATGACTTACATGACTGCATTACTTAACTAGACTTAGATTCTAGTTAGACAAATCCACCTCCCAATTTATACAAGGATTTGTACAGATTAATGTACACAGACAAGAGATGTACACAGACAAGAGATGTACACAGACAAGAGACATACACAGACAAGAGACGTACACAGACAAGAGACATACACAGACAAGAGACGTACACAGACAAGAGACGTACACAGACAAGAGATGTACACAGACAAGAGACTACACAGACAAGAGACGTACACAGACAAGAGACGTACACAGACAAGAGACGTACACAGACAAGAGACTACACAGACAAGAGACTACACAGACAAGAGACGTACACAGACAAGAGACGTACACAGACAAGAGACGTACACAGACAAGAGACATACACAGACATGAGACTACACAGACAAGAGACATACACTGACAAGAGACTACACAGACAAGAGATGTACACAGACAAGAGACGTACACAGACAAGAGACAAGTGAATCATGAGGCATAATAATTATTTAAAACATGACTTCATGACATGGACTTAATGTCATTGTTTTAGGATTTACAGTGTTAATTTAAAAAAATTCAAGACAGAAAAATTGGAGAGAAATTTTACATGACATATTTGAGAAAAGGGCAATAATAAATTGTTCCTTCCTATTTTGACCACTATTAACGGGGTCTCTGCAGATTATATAATAACAATGACTGAAGTTACATGTCAAGAAAATGTTTAAATCAAAGCACCAAGACAAACATTTGTTGTACATGAACTTGAACTTGTTTCTGTGATCAAACTAAAGTACGACACCACCAACTTCTCAAAATGAAGAACTAAACAAAAATCTGTGTCATTTATGTAATTCTTGATAAATTGTCTTTAACATGTTGCCCACTCACAAAAAAGGTGTTTTAAAAAAAAAAAAGAATAAATTCCATAACAGATTATGGTGCTGCTAATTTAAACAAAAGCAATATGTTTAAAATATATGTGGCTTTGCTAATATTGCTGTGATTTGGGATTGTTGCTACCTTTATTTTATAAGTTCTGGAGGTCTCTACATCTCTAGGTCTCTACATCTCTTCATCTCTACATCTTTATGTCTCTACATCTCTAGGTCTCTACATCTCTTCATCTCTACATCTTTATGTCTCTACATCTCTATGTCTCCACATCCCTACATCGTTATGTCTATACGTCTCTACATCTCTACATCGCTACATCTCTACAGTGAGAGATAAACACAGGAACTACACAAAATAATTATTATTAATTTAATTTATCGAACTTGAACTTGATAGTATGTGATAGCATATGCTGCTTAAGAACTGTAAGTATGAAGGAATTATGTATGGCACTTGTATGTGTGATACTTTTATGTGTGGCACTTATATGAGGAACTTATGTACAGCATTTTTATTGTGAAACTTGTATTTTTTGTGGTTGTATGTGTTGCACTTGTATGTGAGGCAGTGCCGTCTTAAGCCATGGACACACTTGTCAGTCACCCAGGGCCTCCTGCTTCTAGGAGTTTTACACTTCTAGCTGTGGGGCCTCATGTTTCTACTAGAAGTTTAACACTTCTAGCTATGGGGCCTCATGCTTCTAGGAGTTCAACACTTCTAGCTATGGGGCCTCATGCTTCTAGGAGTTTTACACTTCTACCTGTGGGGCCTCATGCTTCTAGGAGTTTAATACTTCTAGCTGGCGGACCTCATGCTTCTAGGAGTTAAATACTTCTAGCTGGAGGGCCCTCATACATCCAGTAGCATCAAGCCACAGATGTTTTTAATGAATAAAATAAAAGAGGTATAAGCAATTTATATTGCATGCCAATAGCAGTGGGAAGCAGGTTTCCCAAGTTTTCAAATAAATTAAATTGTTTTGTGACTAGTTTATGTAAGATTTGTCAATTTAAAAAAAAAAATGCATGGATTTGGCGTAAGTGGTGAAATGTGTTAAAGAAAATAAAATAGGTTTACAATAGGTGCCATCCGTTCATTAATGAGTAATTTATCTGAAGAAGGTTATTGTCAGAATGAATGTTCACCAACAAACAAGGCAAAGTCCATAAATTGGGTATTATTCAGCTGGAAATTAAGGATTCCTATAAACTTGTTTTGGACCAAAGTATTCATTTCATTGTTGTTGTTTTTGTGTGATCAAGATGACAGCCATCAGATTTGTTCATCTCTGAAATTGATTGTAACTAACAAATTTCCTAATTTTAATATTTTTAGCCCAAAAAGATTTGGTGGGTGAGGAAATTGTGTTTCAGACTTGCTAATTATCAATGGTTCTTTCTGGTTGTGTGTGTTATGCATTAATTTTTAACAAGTGGATATTTCAATATATTGAACTGCTTATTTGTTAACATTCAGAGGGATTATAATATCTGTGAGGGATATTTTTGTACAGCATTAAACCATATGTGATCATCTCATTCACTGATCTTGATGTGATCATCTCATTCACTGATCTTGATGTGATCATCTCATTCACTGTCTTGATGTGATCATCTCATTCACTGATCTTGATGTGATCATCTCATTCACTGATCTTGATGTGATCATCTTACTAATTATCTTGATGTGATCATCTTATTCACTGGTCTTCATGTTGCTTTTTTTAGAAGTATTTCTTCCATTTTATCCAGGTCAGGAAAACTGATTTAACTCAAGATATCCGCTCCGGTCCAATTTCTGATAGAAAATATCTTAAACAGGAATTAATATATATGCTGCATGGAAAACTGATATTTATGAGATACTGTACCTGGGATATAGGTTTATTTCAAGCCCATTCTCAATGTGACATAATTAAATGCGACCTTTATATCATGTTCACCTGCCCATGCGCATGTGACCTTTATATCATGTTCACCTGCCCCTGTACATATTTACTTACATGATATAAAATATCTTTTTAAAATGAAAAAGTCCTTGATACCAATGTCTTAATAGGAATACCTTTGGACAGGGATAAAGAGTTGCCTTACAGCAGTGTTGTGCCAATGACCTATGATTAAATTCATAGAACTTTGCTTGAATTGGTAGATTTTTGGGATATAACCAACATATGGGACATGTTTGAACTGGTAGATTGGTGGGATGCAACAAACATATGGGACATGTCTATTGGTAGATTTTTGGGATACCGGTATAACAAACATACGCATCATGTTTATTTTTATTAAAATTTTTATTACACTGAACAAGAGTGTTGCTTGTTTGATTGTCTGTCAGACATGAGTGTTGCTTGTTTGATTGCCAGTCATGAGTGCTGATTGCTTGATTTCCAGACATGAGTGTTGATTGCTTCATATTAGACATGAGTGATGATTGTTCGAGTCTCAGACATGAGTTGATTTTTTTATTGTAAGACATACGTGCGGATTGTTGGATTGTCTGACATGAGTGTGAATTGTTCAATTGCCAGACATGAGTGTTATTATTTGATTGTCTGTCAGACATGAGTGTTGATTCTTTGTCAGAGATGAGTGTTGATTGCTTGATTCTCAGACATGAATGTTTGCTTGTTTGATTCTCAGGCATGAATGTTACTTGTTTGATTGTCTGACAAGAGTGGGGATTGTTTGATTGCCCAACATGAGCGTTGATTGTTTGATTGTCTGTCATACATTAGTTTTGATTCTTTGTCGGACATCAGTGTTGATTATTTGTCCGCCAGATATGAATTTAGCTTGTTTGATTGTGTGTCATACTTGAGTGTTGATTGATTGATTGATTGATTGATTGTCATGCCTTAACATGTTGACAATGATGGATCAAATCATTTAAGATTAAAAGATAAAAGTGTGTGTGTGTGATGGGTGTGTGTGTGTGTTGGGTGTGTGTGATGGGTGGGTGTGTGTTGGGTGTGTGTGATGGGTGGGTGTGTGTTGGGTGTGTGTGATGGGTGGGTGTGTGTTGGGTGTGTGTGATGGTTGGGTGTGTTGGGTGTGTGTGATGGATGGGTGTGTGTGATGGGTGGGTGTGTGTGATGGATGGGTGTGTTGGGTGCGTGTGATGGGTGGGTGTGTGTGTTGGGTGGGTGTGATGGGTGGGTGTGTGTGTTGGGTGTGTGTGATGGGTGGGTGTGTGTGTGTTGGGTGGGTGTGAAATCAATCACACATTTAAAGAAAGGAAAAAATAAAAATAAAGACTAAGTACTGAATATTTATTCATCCTAGTTTTTCAGTCCTACGGACAATGACAAAAGTCTGGAGATGGCAAGCTTCATTAACTGTTCAGGTGTGCCAGAAACACATCGCTGGACGTCCCTGGGTGAATCACGGTACGGCGTACATACAACATCCATCCACACAGCTCCTGTACACGTGACCTTGGAAAGGATGAGTGCAGTCAGCTTTGCTCTTGCAATGTCCTGAAACAACGATATACAACAAGATGAACAACTGTGTGTGGATGTGTGGTATTTAAAACAAGATGACCAACTGTGTGTGTGTGTGGGATGTACAACAAGATGACCAACTGTGTGGGTGTGTGGGATGTACAACAAGATGACCAACTGTGTGTGATGTACAACGAGATGACCAACTGTGTGTGGGATGTAAAACAAGATGATCAATTGTGTGTGTGATGTACAACAAGATGATCAATTGTGTGTGTGATGTACAACAAGATGATCAACTGTGTGTGGGATGTAAAACAAGATGATCAATTGTGTGTGTGATGTACAACAAGATGATCAATTGTGTGTGTGATGTACAACAAGATGAACAACTGTGTGGGGATGTATAACAAGATGATCAACTGTGTGTGGGATGTACAACAAGATGATCAATTGTGTGTGTGATGTACAACAAGATGATCAACTGTGTGTGTGTGTGATGTACAACAAGATGATCAACCCTGTGTGTGATGTACACCAAGATGATCAACTTTGTGTGGGATGTACAAGATGATCAACTGTGTGTGTGATGTACAACAAGAGTATCAACTGTGTGTGTGATGTACAACAAGATGATCAACTGTGTGTGTGTGTGATGTACAACAAGATGATCAACTGTGTGTGTGATGTACAACAAGAGTATCAACTGTGTGTGTGATGTACAACAAGATGATCAACTGTGTGTGTGTGTGATGTACAACAAGATGATCAACTGTGTGTGGGATGTACAATAAGATGATCAACTGTGTGTGATGTACAACAAGATGATCAACTGTGTGTGGGATGTACAATAAGATGATCAACTGTGTGTGTAATGTAAAACAAGATGATCAACTGTTTATGTGATGTACAATAAGATGAACAACTGTGTGTGGGATGTACAACAAGATGATCAACTGTGTGTGTGATGTACAACAAGATGATCAACTGTGTGTGGGATGTACACCAAGATGATAAACTGTGTGTGGGATGTACAACAAGATGATCAACTTTGTGTGGGATGTACAACAAGATGATCAACTGTGTGTGGGATGTACAACAAGATGATCAACTGTGTGTGGGATGTACAACAAGATGATCAACTGTGTGTGGGATGTACAACAAGATGATCAACTGTGTGTGGGATGTACAACAAGATGATCAACTGTGTGTGGGATGTACAACAAGATGATCAACTGTGTGTGGGATGTACAACAAGATGACCAATTGTGTGTGGGATGTACAACAAGATGATCAACTGTGTGTGGGATGTACAACTAGATGACCAATTGTGTGTGGGATGTACAACAAGATGACCAACTGTGTGTTTCTGTGAGTGTTTGGGGGGTAGGTGTGGAAGTGGGGTTGGGGTGGAGGTGATTTTAGAAATTTTATTGAACCGTCTTGATGAGAATTGGGTATTAAATGTAAAAGTACATTTCTATGCTTGTTTTAATTTTTTTTAAAAACAATTATTAAACTGACGATCATATTGAGAGATCTGTGAAATTTCGAATATCAAAAACTCTATCAGAGCTAAAATGTCGGCCTGTGTCAATTGTAGTCTTGTGACTTTGGAAAGTTGGGCAGAAATTATTTAAGCTGAAAGTACCAGACATTGTTAAAATTATTTAAGCTGAAAGTATCAGACATTGTTAAAATTATTTAAGCTGAAAGTACCAGACATTGTTAAAATTATTTAAGCTGAAAGTACCAGACATTGTTAAAATTATTTAAGCTGAAAGTACCAGACATTGTTAAAATTATTTAAGCTGAAAGTACCAGAAATTGTTTAAATTATTTAAGCTGAAAGTACCAGACATTGTTAAAGTTATTTAAGCTGAAAGTACCAGACATTGTTAAAATTATTTAAGTTTAAAAAAAAGAGCTTTAAGTAGCATAAAAAGATAATATAATATGTCTGACCATGTGATCCTACTAGTCAGGACGCAAAAGCAAATATAATTGGCCATGTATGTATTTCTTATACTTATATATATCATTTATTTATTTGAAATAAATGGATCTTATAAATGACTTACCAAAGAAACGGCACTCGTCATATTGGTCATTCCTGGAGGGCTTTCTTCGCATACGCCCTTGGGGCAGTCCCTCCACTGCCTCCACACTTACAACTGAAAAACAGCATAAGCAAGACTTAAAGTGGGGAAATGTGTGGGTGGAAAATCCACATTTGGGAAACCTGCATGTGGCGCCAACAATAAGCATATTTTTGAAAGCAAGATGCCATCATTCAATTTGTAATTAACACCATTCCATAGTTTAAAAGTCATGCGTTTATTATAAAATATCATTTGAAAAGATGAAAAGATTGCTCACGTTTGAAAACTATTAAAAGTATAGACCTTAAAATTGAAGCAAATGTAGTTCAAATGTAGATAGCCTACATGCGAAAGGGAAGTAATACTTCCGGTCATGCTATATTTATATTCGAATGACGTAAGCTTCTAAGAATATTTACCTTAACTATACGGGTCATCAAATATATCGAGCGTAGATATTTCATAGATTCCACTCATTGTAATCGGTTAATGACAACAGCTAATTTTCTTTTTATTTTATTTTTTAAAAAGGACAATTTGGTATTTTTAAAAATAAAATATACTTTGTTTTATTGTACATATTTTTGCTCCGGTTGCAGGTCTCACACGAGGGCACTGATGCTGACCACTAGAAAATTAATTAGCATTTGAACCACAATACATACTGTCCACTAAAAACTTACGGAGCAAAGTCCACACGATAATAAACGCCAGTAACAGGGCCTTCATTCCTGACTTCTTTAGCCGTGGAGTAGATGAGTCTATCAATGAAGTAGATGAGTCTATCAATGGAGTAGGTGAGTCTATTAATGAAGTAGGTAAGTCTATGAATGGAGTAGATGAGTCAATCAATGAAGTAGATAAGTCTATGAATGGAGTAGGTGAGTCTATCATTGATATTATAATTCCAATGAGAGATCCAAGCCGAGGTAACTAAAACCACATCCGGACGTCTGCTACCAACCTTCTCTGATTGGCTGCTGAAATTAATTAACCCGTAAAACAAACAAACATGTTTATCTCTAGCTGTCTCAGTAATTACAATGAACCATGGCTCATATGGCTCTTATGTGTTCCCCGGGAGACCCCTATTCACAAAACCTCCCCTCCATAGCCAGAGAAGAGGTCCTCAAAGCGGCTCCTCCTAGATGTTTCGCCCTATTGGTAAACCACCGGCCAACCCAGACGCCCAAGGGGTGTGTTCATTTATTTTTTGAACCGGATTACCACCCGCCACCCCTGGGCCAAAACGTAATCCTGTTTTCTGGCCGACACAGATGCGGGGATCTTGACTGGCCCATTTTTACGACGACATAGATACGGAGATCTTCACTGGCCCATTCTTACGACGACACAGATACGGAGATCTTCACTGGCCCATTCTTACGACGACACAGATACGGAGATCTTCACTGGCCCATTCTAACGACGACATAGATACGGAGATCTTGACTGGCCCATTCTTACGACGACACAGATACGGAGATCTTGACTGGCCCATTCTAACGACGTCACAGATGCGGACATCTTGAATGGTACATTCTTACGACGACATAGATACGGAGATCTTGACTGGCCCATTGTAACGACGTCACAGATGCGGAGATCTTCACTGGCCCATTCTTACGACGACATAGATCCTGGTAGTGCTTAATTATAAAGTGTTGCTCGGCATACCTGGCGATACTACATTTAAATTCCACGTCACAAAAATCTCACTTGTGACGTTGACGAAATACCTGCCTAGGAGACACGCCCTAGAACGGAAGTTGTCTAGGAGACATGCCCTAGAACGGAAGTTGCCTAGGAGACACGCCCTAGAACGGGAGTTGTCTAGGAGACACGCCCTATAACGGGAGTTGTCTATGAGACACGCCCTAAGACGGAAATTGTCTAGGAAACACGCTCTAGAACGGGAGTGGCCCAGGAGACACGCCCTAGAATGGGAGTGGCCTAGGAGACACGCCCTACAACGGGAGTTGCCTAGGAGACACGCATTGAAAAGGTGTTTTAATTTTCGTCATCGACAAAACCTTTGTTATATTGTTGCAATAATATGCCCTAAAACCTAGATCCTAACAAGTGTCATAAACCCTAGCTCCTAACATGTGTCCTAAACCCTAGCTCCTAACATGTGCCCTAAACCCCAGCTTCTAACAATTGCCCTAAACCCTAGCTCCTCACATGTGTCATAAACCCTAGCTCCTAACATGTGCCCTAAACCCTAACTCCAAACATGTGTCAAAAACCCTAGCTCCTAACATGTGCCCTAAACCCTAACTCCAAACATGTGTCAAAAACCCTAGCTCCTAACATGTGCCCTAAACCCTAACTCCAAACATGTGTCAAAAACCCTAGCTCCTAACATGTGCCCTAAACCCTAACTCCAAACATGTGTCAAAAACCCTAGCTCCTAACATGTGCCCTAAACCCTAGCTCCTAACATGTGCCCTAAACCCTAGCTCCTAACATGTGCCTTAGACCATAACTCAAAATATGTGCCCTAAACTGAAGCTCTTAACATGTGCGTTAAACCCTAAATCCTAACATTTACTCTAAAACCTAGCTCCTAACATGTGCTCTAAACCCTAGCTCCAAACATGTGTACTAGATCCTAACTCCTAACATGTGCACTAAACCTAAGCTCCTTGTATGTACCCTAAATCCTAGCTCCTGCCTTGTACCATTAACCCTTGGTCCTAACATTTGACCTAAACCCCAGTTTCTAGAATTTGTACTAGACCCTAACTCCTAACATGTGCACTTAACCTTAGCTCCTTATATGTGCTCTAAACCCTAGCTCCTACCATGAACCATGAAACCTTGCTCCACACATTTGCCCCAACCCTAGCTCCTAACATGTGTCTTAAACCCTAGCTACTAACATGTGTCCTAAACCCTTTCTCTTAACATTTGCCCTAAACCTTAGCTCCTAACATGTTCCCTAAACCCTTGCTCTTAACATGTGCCCTAAACACTAGCTCCTAACATGTGTACTAGACCCTAACTCCTAACATATGCCCTTATTCCTAGCTCCTAAAATTTGACATAAACCCTAGCTCCTTACATGTGCCCTAAAGACTAGCTCCTAACATGTGTACTAGACCCTAGCTTCTAACATGTGCCCTCAATCCTAGCTCCTAACATGTTCCCCAAACCCTAGCTCCTAACATGTTCCTTAAACCCTAGCTCCTAACATGTGCCCTAAACCTAGCTCCTAAACCATATCAACTTAAACCTTTCCCCACACCCCTCACCACATTATTCCCTTGACGAGGCTCAGTCAGCCAGGTATGTGTTTACCCTTGCACGTTTCCAAGGACCAAGGTCCTAATCCACATCAGCCGCAGGCTGCCATTTTGGACACGCTGCTCCCGGAGGACAATACCTGCTCTTGAGCTGTCGACTTATCCTACAACCTTAAGACTATCTATATATGGTTTTCTATAGCGACCAAATCTACAAATAGACTACTCGAATGTGCCCAAGAATTCTAATATGAACAGGGTTCTGTTACTCAATGTTTATCTGGACCAGGTGAATATTTAGTGTGACTACGACCCCCCCCCCCCTTTTTTTTCACACACACACAAAACATATCGTTAAGTGCTAGTTCTCGAACGATCAAACTGCGTTACAGACATGGCAGTATCCCCACTTATTCTAATATGAACAGGGTTCTGTTACTCAATGTTTATCTGGACCAGGTGAATATTTAGTGTGACTACGACCCCCCCCCCCCTTTCTTTTCACACACACACAAAACATATCGTTAAGTGCTAGTTCTCGAACGATCAAACTGCGTTACAGACATGGCAGTATCCCCACTCACTGCCCCGCACACTCTCACAACGCTGGTCGTTTCAGTGGTTCTCCGTCTGTTGAATGGTAGAAGTCAAGGAACATGTGCCCTAAACCGCCAGCACGTATATTTATAGAAGTCAAGGAACAGAGATGGTTGAAAGACGATACAACTTACAACAAATGTTTTATATCATATGTACAAAATCCTAGGAATATATGTTCTTTGGATATACCCATCAAACTAGGCAAGTCGTACCTCAGAACCAAACATATGTACATAATCCTACGGATATATGTTCTGTGGATATATACATCAAACTGAGCAAGTCATACGTCAGAACCTAATTATTGTCTTTGAGCTATGGCTTTTAACTTATTTTATAGAGTTTCTTAGTGGGCAAACACGATATGTAAAGTGCAGTTGAATCATATTATAATGCCAAATGTATTATTTTATAATGTCAAGTGTATAACTTGTAGAATTCCAAGTGTGTAGTTTGCCTTCTGTTTGGATTACTTTCTTTCGTTTATTTTTAGAACTCAACATTAAAGAACTAAATCATTTTTGCATATTTCCGTTTATCGTGCAAGACTGAATCCAAAATAATTTTTTTTAAATATATTTTTGGGGCTATTCGTGAGGGTGATGGGGAAAACTCAGGGAACATCTGATTTAATTGCACTTTTGCTCGTGCCTAAGGCACCAATAATTGAGGTGCGCATATATGAACATGAAAATCCCTTATTAAAAATGTATTGCCCTGCAACAATTCATTTAGCTTCCATTTGAAACCCCGTAGTGTTCGATGATAACAACATTATATCATATACAAATAATCACCCGGGGGCGCCGGGTCCTACAGCTAGTAATTTAATATTTTAAAGAGACGTGCGTCATGTGAAATATGACTGAAAAAATGTCAACTGACACGATTCAGACGACAAATGCACTGGCAGACTGAGAACCGTTGTTTCAGTCGCCATGTTTGTGTAATGGAATGTTTAGATGGTATTTGGGGGGGGGGAAAAAAAAAGGGGGGGGGGCTGTAGCCCAGGTGGTGTTGATGCCTCTAATTGAGTTATGCTCAATTGTAATTAATATTTATTTTGTCAACAGCAGTTAACTGTTCGCTACAGGCACATCTTGCCTCCGTTAAAAACGAGTGACAACTATCACAACATGCATCCAGTGGCGTACCCTGATGCACCCAGCTTTCCAATCGTCGTTTCACACACTGCAAGGCTGAATATGACTGCGAGCATCCTTCCACGGCCTATGAATTGTACACGAACTGAAAGTTAGGTGCGTAATACAGGCCCTAGCGTAGAGGCACGTGAAATAGTTCTGCAGGCCAGAGGCACGTCCAATGGCTTTCGGGCTAGAGTCACTTCAGATAGGCTTTCAGGCTAAATGCACGTCTAACAGGCCTTCAGGCTAGAGGCACGTCTAATAGGTCTTCAGGCTAGAGGTACGTCTAATAGGCCTTCAGGCTAGAGTCACTTCAGATAGGCTTTCAGGCAATAGGCACGTCTAACAGGCCTTCATGCTAGAGGCACGTCTAATAGGCCTTCAGGCTAGAGGCACGTCCAATGGCCTTCAGGCTAGAGGCACGTCTAATAGGCCTTCAGGCTAGAGGCACGTCTAATAGGCCTTCAGGCTATAGGCACGTCCAACGGCCATCAAGCTAGAGGCACGTCTAATAGACCTTCAGGCTAGAGGCACGTCCAATGGCCTTCAAGCTGGAGCAGTGGTTCTCAAATTGTGGGTCGCGACCACTTTGGGGGTTGAACGACCCTTTCCTAGGGGTGCCCTAAGATCATCGGGAAACACATATACTTTACAGTTATGAAGTAGCAACAAAAATAATTTTGTGGTTGGGGGAAACTGTATTATGGGTCGCGCCATTAGGAAGTTTTAGAACCACTGAGATAGAGGCACGTGAAATAGGTCTTCAGGCTGGATTGTACGTCAGATAGGCCTTCAGGCTAGAGGCACTTCGAGTGAGCCCCCAGCTCTATAACATATTTATCCATTAACCGTCAGCACCTATATTTAAAGCCTCTAACAAAAGTTCTTTCGCTTTTCTTTATTGCATAATAAATTGTGGCCATAATGTATAGGTGTGCAGTTCTAGGTTCATATTGTAATGTGTACAGTTCAATCGGTGTCAGATCAACCATGGAGCAACTGGCGCAATTGTGACAAGCCTACTTTGATCCCTGTTACTTTGCTTGCATATAACCTTTCAATGAAGTATATGGACAAATGCAACACGCAGATAGATAAAAATTATGG